ACATCTACCTTCGACACCACCGGCGAGTAAGAACCAGGATGTTTGTGACAGCTAGCCAGGCCCCGCCCCGTAGGTCATCCAATGCAATCCATCCATCCATCCATCAGTCGCTTAGTACGTCATAGGTGCGAAGACAACAAGAAGAGAAGACACCACGCCGTTTCCTTGACACACAAGCCGGCCGAGGCAGCCATCCCATAAAGCAAGGAGGGACGGAAGGAAGCAAGGCACGAAAAACACGATGATGTCCACCCACAGACACGTGAGGATTGTTTGAGAAACACCGACCCGGCCGACCCGACTAAGCCTCACTCATCCCTCCTCGCCGGCTGCCTGCCTCTCCCCCTCCCCCTCCCCGGCCCCACATGCTATCACGGTCATATCCCCCTCCTCCTCCCTCTGACTCTCCCTGAGAGTGTTGGCAGCGACACCCGTCTCATGCTCCTGCCTATCCTCCTGCCCCCCTTCCTCGCCCTCACCCTCAGCCTCACCCTCACCCTCCTCGTCACTGCCCACATCCACCTCTATCTCCGTCTCGGGCAAGGGCACGCTCTTAAGGGGCGGCAGCAGTGCGCTGCCGGCCGCCCTGGCCGTGACCGTGACCGTGGCCCCATCCCCCACCGTGCTGCTCGTCAAACTGCGGACACTGGGGGAGGAGCCCTCCTGCGTTGTCGATGTTGGCGCACCCCTCTCTTGCTGATGCATGAAGCGAGATGCCCTCGTGGGCAGGTTGCGGTGCACTGGGGAGGCAGAGCTGGTCGGTGAACTCGCGCCGTCCTGCAGATGCTGCTCGCCGTCACCCCACCCACCTGCCGCGGCGGCCTTGCGCGAGCCACGGAGAGCGGGGAGGCCCGCTCGAGTGACACGACGAGTTGGCTCCTCGTCTGCAGGTGACAGTGGCTTGGGTGACGGGGCGGCGCGAGGGGGGTCGCTAACGTTGATGTCGACTTCTGACGTCTCCGAGTCGGTGTGCGACACATCGCTGCGCGGCGAAGTGCCTGTGCCCTTGCCGGCGTGCTGCATGATGTCCACCGGGTGCGGCGGACAACCATCATCACCATCACCACCACCACCCCTGCGATCCTCACGTCTCGCCCTCCCTGCCGGCTGGTCGGGGACCGTCTCATCGGTCGCCGTCGGCGATGGGACGTGAGCGGCGGCCTCTGCCGGCTCGGGTTGTGTGTGCCGTTCTGCGCCGCTGATGCTGCCCGATGCGAGCTGCCGGAATGCGTGCCAGAAGTCGCCCATGATGGACTGGCCCAGACGGTGCGAACCCGCCGACTCAGACCGGGAGTCAAACCTGCTCGCCTGCACGACGGGGAATCGGAGACAGGACGACACACATGACTGATAAGTGCAAGTCTGGGTGTGGGTCTTTCTATGTGTCTGTCGGTGGTTGGCGTACGCTCTCTGGAGGGGCGGCAGCTGATGCAGATGCTGACGCCGAGGCAGAAGCCGCCGCACTCGAGGAGCTCGCTGAGGGAGTACCCTGAGCGAGCACCTGGCGAGGTAACACAACACAACACGCCGGTTTCACACAATGATCTGGCATGATTTGATCTGATCTCAGACAGAGAGCCCTTACTTACGTACCGACAGCGCCTCAGCGTACGACCCGATGCCCTTGTCTTTGTCCTTCTTGTTCTTCTTGTGCTCTGGTGTGGCGTCGTCGTCCTTGAAGACGCCGAAGAAGGTGTCGAGCTCGTCGATGCAGTGCTGCGCCTGCAGCCGCTCACGGTCCTCGATCTGATCCGCCGCCAACTCTAAGTAACAAAACGAGATAGATCAAGAGACAGGCCATGCGCATTCACGTGTGTGTGTGCGTGTGTGTCGTCATGGCTTGGCGTCTTCTGCTTACTCATGAACTTGCGAAGGGCCGACACGCACTCACCGGCCTGAAACAGATGCAGTGTGCCCGTGTTGTGTTGTGTTGTGTTGCCGTCCTGCCTGCAGGTGTGTGTCCGATACATTACATTCTCACTCACCTCCTTTGGGTCCTTCATTTCGAACGTGAGAGTGCCGAGCGGCTTGGTCTGCACGCGCAGCCGCTTGGCCGTGGCGCTCAGCTGCGACACCGTGGTGACCTGGCTGAAGTCCACGATCTGGGTGAAGCCCCATCGGCTGATGGTGAGGGAGATGCTGCCGGTCTGGACGCTGTGCTGCACCATCAGCGTCACCGGGATGTTGCCGTACCCCAGGATCTGAGTGCACGCGAACACCCGCACAGTCGTCTCGTAGTAGTCACAGGTCTTCTGCAGCTCCAGCAGCTTCTCCGCCAGCCGGATGTTGTCGGACTGCTTGCTCGCCAGGGCCGACTCCAGCTCGATCACCCGAGCGTCGCTCGCCGACAGGTGCTCGCGGCAAGTCTTGATCTCGTCCTGGAGGCGCTCGTTCTCCTCGGTCACCTCGTCGAGTCGGTTGCCCAGTCGGTTCTTCTCCTTGATGAGTGTGGCGTTCTCGGCACAGGTGTCGCTGGAGTGGTTCTCGAGCCGCCGTATCTCCCTCTCCTTGTCCTTCAGATCCCGCCTAAGCATGCTGCCCTCCCGGTCGCTGTCCTCGACCAGCCGGTCAAGCTTGTGGCGCAGGTCCTGCACCATCTTGTCCTTCATCTCGAGTGTCGCCATGACGTTCTTGATGTACTGCTCCTTCTGTTTGACCTCCACTATCAGCTGGGCCGTGTCCACCTTCTCCTGAGGCTTCCCGCCACCCGCTCCGAAGATCGACGACAGCCCCCCGCCGCCCCGCTTGGACAGCTCGTCGACCATCTGCTGCGCCAGCTTGAGCTGCTCCTGGAGGGACTCTATCTCGATGTCTTTCTGGCTGGTCACCAGGCCCTTGACATCCAGCAGGTCCTTGGTCTGCACGACCTCCGACTGCAGGCTCTCCTTCTCGCGGCTGAGCTCCTCGACCCGCGAGAAGAGCTCCTCATTCTCCTTGGTGAGGTGGCGGATCTTCTCCATGAGTCGCACCGAGCTGCCAGTGAGGGTCTGCGGGGAGGCCGCGCTGCTCGAGTGCGACGACTGGGCGTCGGTGTCAGGTTTGCGGGGGACATGCACGGCCTCGGGGAACTGCTCGCGAGGGCTGCGGATGGGGCTGCGGAGGGAGGGGCGGTCGGTGGTGCCCTTGACCTGCGATGCTTGCCTCATGGTGAAGTCTTCGATGCTGTCTTCAGCAACAGGCAGCACGACACAGCTCACGCATCAGACATCTGGATGGCCGCTTCCCTTCAATGCCATCTTGTCGAGTGCGAGCTCGACTGCTTCATGCGGGAGTAGAAGGCAAAGCAAGAAGGTCAAGATGCTGCGGCTACGCTCAAGAGGTCGTGTTGTGCTTGGGAGGCGAATGATGGTGTTCAATTCTTACCGACTGCCGCGGCATCTCTCTCGCCCCGTCGCTCCAGCAGCAGCATGCTTCTCGACACAAGCGTATGAGCGCACAGCATCCAGCCCTCCGCCCCCTCCACACTCCAGCCACGACACCCACTCCCACCCGCACCAAGAGCACGAGCACCACAGCGAAGCGCACAGTGATGAGGCCCCGAGCAGCGGCATCAACCCGAAAGAGATCCTGCACCTGGCCCTTGACAAGGTGCCCGCTCACGGCTGGACCACAGAGGCCCTCAGCGCCGCTGCCGTGGAGCTGGGCCTGTCACCTGCCGCGGGGAGCGTCTTCACGCCGATGGATTTGGTCTACCACTTCATGGACGTCAAGCTGGACCAGCTGCACGACGATGCGCCACACCTGAACCTGGACGGCCTAGACGTCGAGGACCGCATCGGCGTCCTCATGCAGCGACGCATCTCGTACCTCGCGCCCGTCATCAAGCACTGGGCGGCCGGCATGGCCCTCGGGGCCACCCCCGTGCAGCTGCCCGAGACCACGGCCAAGCTGTGGAGGCTCGTGTCAGAGATATGCTACCTGGCGGGCGACCGTGAGGCCCCTACCAGCCCCCATTTCTACGCCCGTCGGTCGCTGCTACTGTCCCTCTACACGGCAGCCGAGTCGTTCGCCCTCACCGACAAGTCGGCCGACCTGACCGACACGCAGCACTTCGTGGCCCGGCGGTTCGAGGAGATGAAAACGGCCCGCAACTACGGCTCGACGGCCTTCACGGCCGTCAGCTCGCTGGCCTCGGCCATCCCTTCGATGGGCATCGGGGGGTCCCTCTTCCAGACACCATTCGGCTCATCGACGGCATCGTCGTCCAGCTCGTCATCGGCGAGCAGCGGTGCGTCGGCTTCGCACGACGAGCACCACGAGGAGGTGCAGCCGCTGAGGGCGGCCCAAGAGGCAGCATTCCACCACACAGACAGCAGCAGCCACCACGCGGAAGGGGACAAGAGGGAGGGCGAGTCGGCGACGCGACACGAGGGGGAAAGTTTGGCGTCGGCCGCCAAGTCAGCGTGAGCAGTGGTGCTGTGGGTGGTAGCGGGGCAAGCGAAGCTGTCCCTGGTAGTAGAGTAGGATTTTCGACTCAATGCATTCATTGACTGCATTGACTCACAAGGATAGCACGGGCGGTTGAAGAACAGGTGGGTCTGCTTGGCATGGATGGCATATATGAGGCGAAGGTTTCTCGTTTTCTCGTGAGCATGCATGGGATGGCATGAAGACAAGACAGTGTGTGTGTACATAACATAGAGGAGTCTCTAGCCAACATAACTCATCCATCCATCAGTTGCGACTGAAGCCATATCACGAACCAACAAATACCTACCTGACGTATTGCCCTATACACTCACCAATCGCCCCACGCACACACTCGTGTCGATATACACACACATCTCTAATGCCTTATCTCTCCATCCATATGCCCACCCATGTCAATAATCAATCCAGCAATCCCTCTGTAGCAGGCCCCTCCGTCTCCCCAGGGGCAGACTCATCTGCGGCACTCGCCGCGGCGGCGGCAGCAGAGCCCTTTTTCTTTTTCTTGGCCTTCTTCTGCAGCTTCTTCTGCGCCTTCTCCTCCTTCTTCTCTTCCTTGAGCTTGTCGCGAACATTGCGGTACTGATTGACACATAAATGAATGAAATGCTGTCATGTCGGCGGTTGTCAGTCAGTTCAGTCAGTCTGCGTGTGTCTGTCTGTCTGTCTGGTGTGGTTATTCAACTAACTTACGGTGTCTATGAACTCATAGAGTCCGTCGACCCAGAGGTCCCTGTCTCTGTCGACTCGCTTCAGACACCAATCACGGACCACTACCTGGTTGCCTGCAGACAGACAGACAGACACACACACTCGTGGTGGGGCATGGCATGGCCGCTCTGCTCTGTGTCTCGTTGAGACGATGCAGCGTGCCATGCCATCGGCGCACCGCACTCACCGCTTTTTTCGTGGTATTGAATGAAGAATGAGTGTCTGTCTGATGGGTCGACGACCACCTTGCTGACGGCAATGAATGGGATGGACCCCAGCTTCTCCTGGCCCTGCCGGCAGCTCTCTTGGCTGTCCCAATACGCCAACTCCCACTTGGCTGTCCCCATACGGGACGGGCACACAACACAACACAACAGACGCACTTAACTTGCACACACGGAAAATTTCTGTCTGTGGGTGCCGACTGACTGACGTACCCGCTTTGGCCTCCTGGGCTTTGACGAATACGGGCCGCCATGCTGACAAGCAGGACAGGGGCAGACGGGAAGAGACACACGCACACAGACAGACAGCCACCTTGCTGCCGTGAGGGCGTGTGGCTGGCTGGTGATTACACCGCATATATTACATTACATCCGAATGCGGCCATTTTCTCGAGGGGTCCGGTGATGCACCTGGCGCACAGCCGCAGCTTGTCCGTCTCGGTCATCTTCTCCAAATCCTGATGGATGGATGGATTGATGCATCGCATATGTGTCTGTCGGTGTGTCTGTCGCTGTCTGTCGCTGTCTGGCTGCTGTGCTCACCAGATTGAGGGGTTCATCGGACTCGCCAGCTGAGGCAGGGCAGAGCAGAGCAGAGGCACCAGGACGTCTGTCTGCGCTTGTGGGTGTGGTGTGCACCTGTGTCTGTGGGTGCGTGTGTGTGTGTGTGTGTGTGAGGCAGGTACCGACCGTCAATCTGTGCCCTGAGCATGGCCTGTTGCATCAGCGGTGTCGCCTCGGAGGGAATCTCGCCCTCAACTGCACCAGCGAGACATACGTCAGTCATTCGGTGTATTCCTCCCTCCGTGTGTGTACTTTTGATGAAGCTGAGTTTGGCCTTGCCGGCATTCCGGTTGTCCTTGCCCTTGAACTGGTATCTAAGCGACACGCACATTCAGAGCACCAAGGGGCTGTGCCTTGGCCTGTGTGTGCTGTCTGTCCTTCTTGCTCCCCTCGTACGCTCTTTGTTTGGGGAAGTTTTGTTCGCAGAGGTCATCGTCGATGTCGAGCTCGAGGCTGGGCACCTCCGTGTTCTTGATCGTGCCCTAAGGAAGGAAACACAACAGAAAGAGAGAGACATGGGTGCACGCGGTCATCAAATCCACGGCTGGTGTGGGTATGTGGGTGTGCGACGCACGGCAGTCATGAAGAATATCTTCAACTTCTTATCGCACTGTCTGACGTGGAACTTGAGCCGCTGATGCCACTGGCACTTGGGGTCAGCTGCAGCAGAAGAAGAAACACACACGCAAGCAGCAGCCTCCTGTGCACATCAAAATACTCTCACACACGCGCACAGAAGTCCTTCCGCACCCGTGGTCCTCTCGCTGTTTCTGCCACATCTGAAGAGAAGGAAGTGCGACCCCTTGGTGGGGTACTGCTCGCCATGGTGCACCTCCACCACCATGTTGAAGGGGTAGTGCTTGTGCCACCCAGCCTTGATGTACAAATCGCCTGCCAACAACACACACACACCGTCCCGCCCTGCCATCAGGTCAGCCGTCTCATCGATTGTCTCACTACTGACTGTCCTCGCCGGCCGACCGATGCATCTGCACTCCGACGGGTGCGGCATGTTGGCAATGAGTGTCCAGAGGAGGGCGAACACAGCTGCAGCGGCGATGAGGCACCCCACACTGCCCACTGCATCGCCCACCGCCGCCAGGCAGGGACACGCCATCCGGAACGCCAGCGTCGCCATCCTGCCACTGCTGCAGCGCCCTTGGTCACCTTATCTCCGTCCCTGCCTTCGGCCACAACCTCCGAGCCCGACTTGACCGAGCCCCATGAAGATGGCAGTGGTCTTAATTGGCATTGCAAAAGGGGTGGCCTGCCTGGGAGAATCGTGATGTTGTCCTGCTGCCGCGGTCACTTCCTTCGAATCTCGCGGTTCAGATCGGCCGCGAGCTAAGCTCGCAGCCTTGGCGCAGGAAGATCTGCCACTTTGTCTCATTGAGGAGGCCCAGATAGCCTGATTGCGGGTCGAGGATGGCGAAAAAAGATGAATACGTGCCGCCGAGGGCGGAGGAGAGGACCCCTGTTCAGGCCCACTACCCACCTGACGCCAATGAGGTCACAACCAGGCAGCTCTTCACGCGACAGGGCGCCGCCCACCGCCGCAAGGACATGCCCATCTTCCCCATCGGCCACAGGGCCCGCTACTTCCATGAGCAAGATGGCAGCATGTACCTCTATGACGACAGGCCAAAGGCCTACATCGAGTTTCCCTTCCAAGACGCCGTCGACGCCGACGGCGGCGCGTGTGTGGACACCATCGAGCGTCGGTTCTTCGAGATGCCGCACTGCTACGAGGGGCCCTTCCTGAGCAGGAAGGAGCGCGTCAACTACGACGACTATGAGAACGGCTACAATGTGTACGGCAGGATGACCTACCCCGTCCGCAAGACCCCGCTGCCTCACGAGCTCCGCGGCATCCTGAAGCACTACGACGGCCACCACAAGAACGCTCAGGCACCTAACCCCTTCGACAAGCCGGAGCGGACGCATCGCCCCATCAGCCAGCCGCCCACGGCCAAGGAGCGTCGCGCTCGCGACAAGGAGCCGTTCATCGACCCGTCTAAGGTCAAGGTGGTGCCGCCCCTGGGCCCCGACAAGGACGACCCAGGGGTCAATCTGGATCTGCTGGAGGAGCACGGCCGGGGCTTCCTGAACCCCAAGTACGGGTGGCCGTGGGAGGACAAGGACTTCGACGAGGATGAGGAGCGCCGCAAGCCCCCCACGGCCCTGCTGCAGCTGCTGGAGGAGGACCTCAGCGGCATGAAGCACGCTCTCCCAGACTGGAAGGGGCTCAAGAGGGACACAGACACTGTGGACATCGTCAAGGACGGCCTCGAGGTGGACGAGGACGTCGAGCCGCGGGTGGGCGACGACCGCACTCGCCACCCCGCACAGCCCGTCTGGGACGTCTACCCCTCACTCCACCCGATGGCATCGGGTCTCGGCTTCAAGCACAATGCCCCCGCATACCGCCCCACTAACCCCGCTGCCGACGTGCCCCCGACGGTCCGTTCCCGCAACGGCAAGAAGGAGGTGGCGAGTCGCGCGAGGGACCTTTGGCGTGACCACTTCTTCCCTCACCGAGGGCAGATGGGAGCTGGCGTGCCGGGGGAGGGGTTCCGAAGGCCTGGGGAGGAGGGGTATGAGGATGAGCCCAAGTTCCGGCGGCGTCGGCAGGCTGCCCCGCTGTGCCAGCTGCCGTCAGTGTGGGACCACGTGCCGGCCGACTCGCAGCGCTACTGGACCTACATGTGGAAGGACGTCGACAACGCCAGATTCGGAGGGGACAAACACGAGTTCAGGAGAAAGGTGCCCTGGTTCCAGCTCTGGAGGTCAGGGAGGGAAACATTGGTGGACTCATAGCCATCCATCCATCCGTGCATCAGTGGCCACATACACCGTCTCTTTCTCTCTCTGTCTTTGTGTGTGTGTGTGTACTACAGGGATGCGAGCATCAATCCTCGGTACCACAAGTCGCGTACAGATGGCTTCTTCGACCGCGACGGCGGCCTGGTGAGCGACCCGACGGACGAGCACATGATGACGACCTTCCTGTACGACCACACCAACAAGCGCACCAACGAGATCGAGATGCTCGCCTTCCGCGAGTACGCCAGCCAGCAGCTGCAGCCTATCGAAATGCGCAAGAACTGGATGGCCGACCTCGTGAGCGGCGTGGGCGGCTGCCCCCTGCTGCTCAAGGATGACAAGGCCCACAAGGGGTCAGAGGGGGAGGCGGGGACCAAGCCCAAACCCATCATGCGGCACTCCAACAACACAGCCTACATCGGTGAGAAAACATGCACACACACGGACACAAATACCACACCCTCCACCGCACCGCAACCCTCCTGTGTGTCGTTTCTCTCACCACAGGTCGGTTTGGTGGCCGACTGTACCCGCAGCTGCTGGAGGAGATGAAGCTCTATGGCCTGGAGGGCACAGCTCCCACCTGTTCCCAGTGGCGGTGGGGCGAGGCCTGGGAGGTCCGCGTGCCAGGGGCCACCCTGCCGCCCGACGGCCACGTCAAGCTCCTCGAAGACTCCCACAACGAGTACCTCAAGATCGCAGAGCAGACCGCCCTGGCCGAAGCCATTGCCGCCATGCCCACCACCGAGGGCATCGGCAAACCCATGGGCAACGTCAAGCCGGAGCTGGCCAAGCGGCAGGCCGACCTGGGCGAGGGGCTGACCACCTTCGGCAAGTGCAAGAAGCAGGAGGAGGAGCGCCGGAAGCAGTGGGCCAACCGACTGCACAAGTCACACGACTGGGAGGCCAACAGACAGACGACGGCCCGCCCCAACATCTCTCTTGACCGGGCGCTCAATCGCGTCACGCCGGCCAAGCGCACGGCCGCCAGAGACGACGACGCCCTCACCCTGGCTTCCTGGCCATCCGATGAGGAGGACAGAAGACAGAGGAAGCGAGCGAAGAGAGCCTCGACGGCCGCCGCACCTATGGACCTCGACCAGGAGGAGCACCAGGGGGACGCCCGCCGCCCATCCAAGAAGGCCAAAGCCAAGAGCAAGCCGACACCCAAGAGCAAGACGGCAGCCAAGCCGAAGCTGCGAGCGCAGGCCAAAGGCAAAGGCCTCCGCCAAGTGATGCGCGGCAGCCAAGCCGGTCGCTTCGCTCGTTTGGTGCGACGTCGGCCGCTAGCCCCCAAGCGGCCACGAGAGGGGGGTTTTGCGCTCGAGGATGTGGGCGACGCCTTCAGTCCGGCAGCGCCCCCGGCGCCGCACAAGCCCGACCCCGACGGCTGGGGCAAGTTCGACCTGTTCGGTGAGAACGGGATGATTCAGCGTCGTGCGGCTGGTGGTGGGGTGGGTCAGGGCAGCAAGAGGGACCACCCGATGCTGCTGGGTGACCCGCTGCTCAAGGACACCCTCATGAAGGACCCCGAGATGCGGGGCTTCCTCGGCAAGGCCACGCGGCGTCTGGAGAGCATGGGCCAGGACTTCACCCTCACCAGCGAGCCACATCCCGAGCTGGGGGCGGAGCTGTGCTTCGAGCCGTCGGACAGCGCCGTGGAGGCGCTCAAACGGCGACACCCCGACGCTATGGAGAGTGCGGGGGTGAGCAACAAGTTCCACTGCAAGCCGCACCCCTCCGTCGACCACCCAGAGCCCCACTTCACACACGCGCCGCAGGAGGAGGGCTACAGGGGGCCATTCGGAGACAGAGAGGCTTTCAAATGGTCAGCCGGGGAGACAGACGAGCAGGCGGGATAACGGGTACCAAAGGCAGGCGCACGGGTGCTCTGTTTTATGTGCGTTTGTGTGTGCAGGGATCGTTATGCGATGATTCGTCTGCCCCCGAAAGAGGTTGATGGTGGGGAGGGGCGGCAGGAGTACGTCGTCGTGCCGGTGGAGTGGCAGAACATCGAGATACACCACAGCCCGCTCAAGCTACTCAGACACCAGGCAGGCGCGGACACGCACCCACGCACCCAACCGTCCTCACACCCATGTCTGTCTGTCTGTCTGTCTTTGCTTGTGGGCATCTCTCTCTCTCTCTCCCCCGCAGTATGCGACGGCCGGTTTGGAGAAGCGCATCGGCGAGGATCTGTTGAAGCGCAACTACGAGTGGACGTACGAGTACGACAAGCAGAGCGGCGCCAAGATGGCCTACAACAAGAAGAAGAAGCTCCTCAAGTGGATGTCCGAGACCGGCCGCACCCCCATCACCCACCCCTACGGCCAGTACCGCTATCTGCAGAAGAGGCGGCCCTTCCTCGCCGCACTCTACCGCGACCACCTGGACCAGAAGGACCCCTCAGACAACGTCATCCCGGACATCCTCGAGCTCGGCGTCTACCAGGACAGAGCCAACGACACAGAGAGGAGGTCGGACCAGCGAGGGAGAGACAGACGAGTGTGTTCATGGTGGTATATGGTGATGGTGATGGTCTGGCTGTCCTTGCTGCGGTGCGGTGCGGTGTGTGCTGCTATGGTATCAGGGCGTTCAAGGTGTTTGATGACGTGGTGCTGCACCGCAAGTTCGAGCGGAGGCGACTCGCCAAACAGCTCAGCGTAAGACCACCC